AAATGAAAACTCACAGGCATATGTTTCAGCTATTAGAACAGAATGATAGAGTTTTTATAATACTGGTTTAAAAACGCACTTCAAAGATTGCAGTGTTTGAAGATGTAGATTCTCAGGAGGTAACAGTACTGTTGACTTTTCTCCCTTCACTGGACACCAACTAACTATTTAAGTTGATTTGCATACAAAGCAGAGCTTGCAACATGATGGCTATTCATAAAGGGTGTTTTATTTACTTTTCATATAATACAGTAGTCGCACAATGAGGCAGTTCATATTTTTCTCAGTGAATCATAATTTTTGACAGACACCTGTACAAAATACTTGGATAAAAGCCAGCTAAGATTTTCTGTTATCTTGCATGTTTTATGAATCTATTCACGTCTAAATGCAGCACTTTTTTTTTGCGATGAGGCATTTGTTTTTATACTAAAATATCTGAATTACTTTGAATAAAGCTGGAAATTATGTCCCTTAAAATAATTAAACAAATAAGACATTTGGTAGACTGATTCCCCACTGTTGGTTTAACTCCAAAACTTGTTTGTATTCAAAATTAATTATGACAATGCATATTTATATTGTAACAAACTATGATAAAGGGAATTATATTATATAACAAAGGGCAAGGTCACCAGAGTTCAACTATGTTTAATCAAGTAAGGGGTAAGTGTAATGAGAATTTAAAATGAAATTATATCTATTTTCAAGAGATGGTGTATTCAAATAGTTAAGTGGAGATAGTTATGTTGTGAGTTTATGTGCATTATGTTGTGAGTTTATGTGCATATGTTGTGAGTTTATGTGCAATATGTTGAGTTTTTGTTGTAAGTTTTCTGTGCATTATGTTGTGATGTTAAGGGCATGTTGTGAATTTATGTTGCCAAATGTTTAGATTTGAAGTCATTTTTCTTCTGTTAGAAATGCATGTTACCATATTTTATGTGATCATTTGAATACCAAGAAAACATCCATGCTATTTGGCTTCTCACTTCTTGTTTTTTCATGTTCATTTACGCAAATGAGCTATAATAATGTCATATGATTGGAGGAAAATGCTCACATGTTTTATTTGTATTTTCTTAAATTCATGTATTAGAAGTGACAAGTCTATGTGAATGGATGTTCCTGATTGAATCAAAATGACACAGTTGAAGCATATCAAATCAGTCTGTGTAGTGGTGGTGTTTTCAGAACCAATCCTGTTTTATTTCAAAGTATTTATTTACCTTGGGACCAATATTGTCTTCCCATAATATTTTTGGCTTTTCCATTTCTTGCTGCAGAATACATTCTCTCTCTGCCTAGACATTTCAGTTTTCTAAATTCCCTTAAAAAAAACATCAATCATTTTAATTGTGCCCTCTAGTAGTGAAAACATTTTTACTTTGTTTTTATGTTTTGCATTGTTTTATTAACTAATATTTATTTTTGTTGCTTATTGAGACATTTTAGTTACTGCCAATAATTTTAAGATTTTATTTGTATAAAATAAGTTACTCACCTGCCAAAAACTGCCCTAATTTGTCTTAAAAGTTCATTCAACAAAATAGTGGGGGGGTTAAGGGGGGTAGTATCTACTTAATGTTACACAATGTCTTTCAAGCCACTGCACCTGTTACAAACATTGAGGGCGCCCTACATTTAACATGCATATTTGAGGTATTGAGAGCAACTCAATTATGGAACACTGACTCCATGGAACATGACATTAAATTGTTATAGAAACCAAATAAGTTTGCTGACCTGCTTCGGATTTATGCTGCCTTGGAATATTTGTATGGCGCCCCCAATTTAATTTTGAGGTGTAGTTTTAATTTTTAAAATTGTACATCTATTACCATTGACTGCTAAGAGTTCGTAATAATGCTATAGTGTATACATAGATGCCTGTATCTGTTTTAATTTGGATTCACTAGAAGATGAGCTACTTAAATCGGTAGGTGTGGGGGGAGACAGACACATACAAAAAGATTTAATCAAAGCTAGATCTTGGTGAAGCTCTTCGGGAATCCACTAGTAATCATGAAAATCTCTCTCTTATAACAAAGTGCAGTTTTCATGTAAACGCTAGCCACTATATCTCGCTCATTTGCTGTTTATTATCTTCTATAAAAAGTGATTATATGTAGATGGATCTATGATGGTCGTAATTTTGACTGGGAGGGAAGGGAAGGGGAGAGTACATGTTAATTCATTTAGAAAGAAGTGGGGGTGAAAATACATTTGACAATAGTTTTTATGACAGGCTGACTCCTATTACAAAGATAGAGCAATGACTTTAATTTTTTTTTTCGTTGAAATGTTTATTTGTAAATAGAAGCTATATTGTATATGACAATTTTTTTTTTAGTTGAAAATGTAATTGAAATAGGAAACCCTGTACAAATGACATTGTACCAAAAAAAAACTTATTTAGAGTGATTTTATTTGTATTTCCATAGTCATGCTTGTGAATATGTACAGTTTTAATAGTTAAGAAGTCAATTGTTATGTGCAATATTAATGACAAGTATATTTAATGTATCAGTATGTAATCTAGGAAATGAGCATGTCCAAGTGAAACATTACCGAAAAGTGAAACATTTTTAAATTCTTAATTTTTTGGAGATAAATCTTTTACCTCC